ACCATATGGGGAGCCCATGGCTTTCCTACTAAAGACCATGGGAGAGCCCATGACAACTGGATGTAAGACCATGTGGAGAGCCCATGGCTTTCCTATTAAAGACAATGGGAGAGCCCATGGCACTTAGGTGTAAGACCATGTGGGGAGCGCATGGCATCCTGGAGTAAGACCCTAGGGACGAGCCCACGACATCCTTTTATGTTTATACGCATGGTTTATATGATTGTTATGGTTTATGTAACTTTTATAGCTAATATGGATTATGTGGGCTATGTGGGCTATGTGGGGTATGCTTTGGGAACTCACTAAGCTTTAGGCTTACGGTTTACAGTTTTGGTTGCAAGTATCATCCATTTGGAAAAGAAGGGCTCGGATTAATCGCAGTACACACACCTATGATTTCCGCAATGAATGATTTTGGGATGAACTCTGATAAACGTTTTACTAAATGATGAATTGAATTGTTTGAAATTAATGGTATCAATGCTTTAGCTATTTTAAAAATGAAATTTTTACCCTTGATTTTTGGGTCGTTACACTCTACTTCGAAATTGATAAACGACAGTTTATATTGAATTCTATTGGAAATGTGAAAACGAGGGGTTACACTTTCGAGCAACCATGCAACAATGGTGGTGTTAGTAACATAATGTTGGATGTAACTATTTATATTGTAATGCTTCCATTATAATTTTAGTATACTAAAATGTGTATGACAAGATATATGTACAAATTGTTTTATAGTTGAAAGCGAAAAGGATATTAATGAGTATGTTGAGAAGTTTATCGATAGAAGGATCAACAAAATCCTTCGGTTTTCGGGTATACCAGATTGATCAAAGAAGATATCAGGTGACTGACCAAAAGAAAAATGGTATAGTAATCTTGGAATCTCATTATTGCACGTATGCGAAATGGCAATTGCCGGGTATACGTTGTTCTCATGCAATAGCAGTATTCAAGGAATTGATATGTCAATACTGCAATACATGGGTGTCATTATACTTCACAATGGGAACATGTCAATCAACATATATATAGAGGTTATGTTTCTTGTGCCAGTTCCAGCTGAATACGAACAATCATATGGTGTGATGGTTGTATTACCACCATTGATAGACAAACGACAATTCAGACGACCACGAAACCATAACTATATCCCATCCTAAGGCGAATGTATGATTCAGAGAATATACAGTCGTTGCTAAAGGATCAGTGAAACAAGCAAAAACTGTGACACTCAGTTTCCCGCAAATTCAACAAAAACTGAAACTTCTAGTAGGTCTAAGTCAATTTCCAAAAGTAATGTTAAGTCTAAGAGTAGATCTAACGTTAAAACTAGTCAAAATAGTAGTCAACCCTATGATATTGTGGACCTTAAAACCTCGTGATGATATTTGTATGAAATTAATATACTTTACATTGTTCGATAACATTAAGTTGTTTTTGCTACATCGTCATAAGGAAATTGTTTAAGACACACACACGAAAAAACCATAACTCAAACATCAAGGTAATCTGCAGCATCTATCCACTAGACACTCTTAATCCACTACAAAGCAGCACACTCCTGCTAAGTAGGATGCAACAATTCATTAGGGGATGTTGCATAAAAGAATATATAAAGGTTAATCTTAAGTTATTTTCTCATATCAACTTATAAATTATAAGGTAAACTAAGGTACACACATCAATAAAATCAAGAATACGTGAACACTCAGTAGTATGAAGACGTCTCATCCTACGATATGCAATTGCATGAGGGATAACACCCAGTATAGGGGAACCAACTATACTATTGTTGGGAAATGTCTCCATGATTCAAATCTACAGAATTAAGATGTCAAACAACTAATAAACTTAAAAAATTATAATATTTTTTTTGCTAAAAGACATATTAAACACAGTGGACATCCCTTAAATGCAAAGACAAATCCCTATAGAGTATATGTGTGTCTACTACCGATTCTTGACGCATTGGGGTTCAAATGCTCCTTAATCTTTTTAAACATAGTACATAGTTGTTTATACGTGAAATCCCATATCACTCTACCCATGAGTACTTATGTTAACAATTACACTTAATAAGTATATGTATGATTTGATATAATGTGTGTAAAAAACTATATACATGTTAAACTCATCTAAATTAGAGATGAGTGCCATAAATTCATCTGTAACTGACTGTAGAGGGTATTTCCCCAAAAAATCTTGCTCTAGCATAAACAACAATGACACTATCACTGCGTCTGCATTACTTAATTGATGACGTAAGTTATTGATCATGTGGATAAGTTCAGGCACTCTCACCGAATATGAAAGCAACACAAATGGGAACACATGTTGCCTGAACTCTCTAAAACTAGAACTATGAGGATACTCCCTGTACCGCAACCCAGTGACCAAGAAAAATGCCTTCCTGTCAAACCCAACCCAATAGTCGTCAATCAGAAATAGAAGATCTTGTAGGTCAACTAGATCAAAAGTAGTAAATTCCTTACAGATAAGATAGTAACTAACTAAAGGGTGACCTTCCACACCCATATGCATGTTCAAGTAATCACCAAAATATGATTTCATAAACATGGCCTGATAAACTGGTCGGTTATTTAAACGAGCCATGATTTCGCGCCAAAGTTCAACCCTGCAGGCTGTAGTAACAACCGATTCCTATGTTCTGTCTTGCTACAAGATAAAAAATAATTAATTACACATTTTTGTATGTATGTTACGAAGGACATTACTAAATACGCAATTCCAGACCAAAATTTCGGAACACAACTCCAGGGCTACAATCCAGAACGCAATTTTGAACCTAAATTTAAGAGCAAAATTTTGGAATGTTCATCATATTAGGGAGGAGTTCTTATTATTCTGGACATATTTTTCAGATTTCAAAATTGTTCCGGACTAGTCAAAATCAAGTTTTTTATAAGAATTTTGATGTAGCATACATATAGTCCTATATTTAGTCATATAGGAATCCGGAACGCAATTTTGAACCTAAATTTAAGAACAAAATTTTGGAATGTTCATCGTATTGCAGAGGAGTTCTTATTATTCCGGACATATTTTTCAGATTTCAAACTTGTTTCGGACTAGTCAAAATCAAGTTTTTGATAAGAATTTTGATGTAGTATACATATAATCCTATATTTAATCATATAATTGTCTTTAAATTAATAAAATTTAAAGATAAACTAATAATACCTATATAAATGCATATAATATGCATGTTTTAACGTATAGTCTAAAATAAAGGCATATAATTCTAAATATAATAGAAACTTACCTATAAAAAATGCATCTCATCACTACTATCAGAAGACATTTTCAGTTTTAGTGGTATCTGAAATGCTCTGGGGTAATCCGAAATAGTAAACCAAAATAAGAGATTTCGAAATGAAATCTGAAACGGGTTTAAATGGTATTTATAAAGGGAACCACATTACCAGGGCATATCCTTTACCCATTCTCAAAATCGATTCAGAAATGACCCATTACCATTTTGCAAAACAAAGGTTTATTATTATTAAAATAACATTAGAAAATGCTTAATTTACTCGATTTCCGAAAATAATGGTATATATACACTAAAGTCCAATATTTTCATCGATTTGACAAGAAAATCCTAAACTTTATTTTTTGACATTAAAATCCAAATTACCAGTAGTTTTTTTTTTTACACTTTTACCCTTTTTTCGGGTTAGCCGGTAATTAGGATTTTTTTTGTCAAATATATAAAGTTTAGGATTTTCTTGTCAAATCATCAATTAGGATTTTACTGTAAAAAAGTAAAGTTTAGGACTTTGTTGTCAAATTGTTGAAAACATTGGGACTTTAGTGTAGATATCCCTTTTTTGGTTAGAAATTTAATGCTATGATACTTTTTAAGCATAAGAGTTATTGAAACTTTCTCTAGTCAGCTGGATCCTATTGAAATTCTTAATGTTTGCTTCTTGTTAAATCGTTTTTTAATTTCAACCAACCGTCATTGAAAAAAATGGAGATGATCCAGATAGAAAGAAAAGAAAGAAAGAACCAAGGTTGTGTTAGCTTTTTGCAGTCCCAAAATGGAGAAATAAGTAACCGAAAAAAAAATGAAATTGCCCTTTTTTCCCTTCTCCACATTCACACATTTTTTACTAGGCATGTATTGTTTGTATTTGTATAATCTGTCACCACTTTTTAGTTCAAGATTTGGCGGCGAAGCAAGAAGAAAGTTTTACAAGTCTTTTCACCATTTCTCACTCTCTCTTTTGCATATGTTTCTCCGGATCGTGATTGTGTCAGGGTAAAGATGATGATGGTAAGAAAAACAGTGACGCTGCAACAAAAGTCACAATTAAAAGTTCTTGGGTTACAAAAATACACTAAAGTCCCAATATTTTCAACGATTTGATAAGAATGTCATAAACTTTATTTTTTTGACACTAAAGTCCTAATTGACGATTTGATAAGAAAGTCCTAAACTTTATTTTTGACAAAAAAATCCTAATGACAGGCTAACCAGAAAAAATGGTAAAAATATCAAAAACTACCGATAATTTGGACTTTACTGTCAAAAATATAAAATTTAAAACTTTCTTGTAAAATTGATAAAAATATTGGAACTTTAGTATATATATCCCTAAAATAATTATATCAAGTTGATTCATTATATTTTTTTTTTCAATTACAAAAAACTATAGAATTTAAAACCCAAAAGACATGTTTTTTAGCATAACCAAAAATTGTTATCCGTGATAGCTAGGTGACTTTTCTAAATATGTTCAAGCATCTTATTTTGTTATTTTTGAGTGAAGTGGAGATCCTAGATATGCGGTTGCATGTCATCCTCTTGAGCATCAATAGTAATCAGTAGTAATCAAGTGCACCTACCAAGGAGTTTAACATCTTTTTTATTATAATAGCGATGGAAGGGTTGAACCCAATCACAACATTGTAATAAAATCAACTAAATAAATAGTATTACAATATTATATCAACAGTAACAACTTTTAATCAAACTTCTTGTTTTGAGGCTGCAACATGAACAAAAAAATTCCCCCAGCAACAGAAACATTTAATGACTCAAATGCCCCTGCCATTCTAATGTTTACTAGTTCACATGCCTCATGGGCTTCTTTGGAGAGCCCACTCCCTTCACTACCTAAAACTAGACAAACATTTGTATTTGTTAAAATTCGGGCAAGTTCATGAGAGAGACAAGACACTGGTTTTGATTCGGTTTTGCTGCCCGGACTGCCCGCAAGGATTTTCATTTGAAAACCATTGACAAGAGATTGTAAATGAGACCATGTCCCCGAGACTAATGGAAGTTGAAATGATGCACCTCGGCTTGCTCTAACTGCTTTCTCATTGAATGGATCACAACATCCGGGGAGTAGAAATGCTCCATCCTGTTGATTTGTAATAGTTTTTAAACAAACAGAAGGGTAAAATGGTCATTTGATCTTTGTTCAAACGGTTCAATCGGTCAAAAAAAGGAAGTATCTTTTGTTCGTTGTAGAAGTTTTGTGTGGTGTTTCGTTTTGACTGAAAAATAAAATGACTGTTTATTGGAATCTTGTTATGAATAGGTATGAGTTATAGATGCGAGGGTAAAATGGTCATTTAATCTTGTTTATTAGGTCCAAAGAAGAAAAAGTATTTGTTGATACAACGCTTTGTTTAGACAAACATCATTTATTCATATAGCAGTTCCTAGAGACACACAAGATTTATCCGGATAACATTTCATCAATACAACAGTCAATGAAAAAGGAAGAAACAGGAACCTAAATAAGCATAGTACTTCTAAACAGAAGGGTAAAATGGTCGTTTACTCTTAATGAGATGGTTCATTTAGTCCCAAAAACAGCCTTTGTTCATTCGCACTTGCTTCAAATAGACATAATTTTTGCATTAACTTTATATAATAAGCACTTAATGAAAAAAAATGACTAAATAAGCATTGTATTTCCTAGACAAAAGGGTAAAATGGTCATTTGCTCTCATTCAGACGATTCTACATTGGTTAATAAAAAACAGTCTTTGCTAATATAACGCTTCCTCTTGAAACACATCACTTATTTGGACAGCATTTTATCTATTGAGCACTTAATACAAAAATAATAATAATAATAAAGAAAACACATTTCCTAAAAAAGAAGCATACTATGTCAAAAAAAAAAAAAAAATTACGGAATTACCCATCCAAACGCCACTGCTGATCTTAATAACGTCCCAAGATTGCCAGGATCCTGCAATTACATACAACAAAAATCCTACAAAATCAGTTCAAAAATATCAACAGAAACTTATGTTTTCCAGGGCTATTTTTTATGATGAGGAGCATTTATGTCTTTTTCCACACACGAGACATCAACACAGTATAAGGTCGTCTTGTTCTGTTCAATAAATGTTATTAACAAATAAATTAATAAAATTCGTAACTGAGAAAATAACCTGGATTCCATCAAGAACAAGAATTCGGTATGCAGAAGGAAACCATTTTGAAAAATCTTCATGGTGGTTGTTTTCTAAAGAGTGAAAAGTTGAAGGAATTTTCACTAAAGAAACCACATCAATGGATTCCGTGGATTGAAGTCCTGAAAGTTTCTTCATCACCATTGAATTAACACGAACAACACGAACACCACTTTCAACAAACTCTTCAGGAACCGAAGTTTTTTCATGTAAAAGTAAACAATCGATTGTCGTTGGCTTTTCTTGCATCGATTCTTGAAAGTTGTAGATTTCCCTAGTGTTATAAACATACGATTTAGGTTAAAAAAAAAACCATATGTTTTGTAGTTAATATAAATTCTTTGAATTTCTAAGATAAAAATGAAATGAACCCAACAAGCCCAGAAATTGCTGGTGTTCGATTCAACGGAAAGTGTATCGAAATTTGAATCGATTTAATATCAATACAGATGATTCTAAAGGTGTGTGAGGAAATCAGCATAAACCCTTTATAGAAACTGGGGTTAAGATTAGAGAAGCATACCTGAGTGGAGTAGTTCCAACAATAAGAACAGAACCATGAGAATGGCGATAAGATGAGCTGTTGCGAAGCTTTACGCAATGCTTCACAAATGGGTTTGATGTGCTTGTGATGGATTTGACATGGAACGGTGGTATAGAAGGTGTCGCTGCCGAAGAACCGCCGTCGCCGACGTCTACATGAGAATTTGGGGTTTTGGTTGGTAGGGATAGTGAGAGGGAAGAATTTGACCTTGGTTTGCAGAGAGTCAAAGGGGGGGAAGATGGTGGGAAGGATGACGATGACCACATCGTATTTGCACTTTGCAATCATTTTCAGTTTCCTCTAGAGTGGTGATCTTATAGCAAAACAGCTGTCACATATAGTTTTATAACGGATTAACGAATTATTGCATCAAATTTTACAAAGTTTAATATAATAGATTGTCAAAAAAAAAAAAAAAGTTTATTGATATAAAAGTCTTTGTTTATCAATTTTATGGTTTGTCCTGCCACGATTTTTTGTTTGTTTATATCTTTAAGGGTGCGTTTAGTTGCGAAAAAATGGACCGTTTTTAAGAAAAAAATTTTAAGAAAAATGAGAATTTTGAAAACGCGTTTAGTTCGTCTATTTTTCTAAATTTTTCACGGAAAATGAAAATTTTCCGTTTTCTAAAATTACAAAGAAGTTGGAAAATTTTAGAAACTGATAATCATTGTTTTCCATATTTTTCTAATTCCAAAATTTTTCTATAAACACACACCCACTCCACCCATCCACCTCTATCTACCCCCACCCCTACACACACCCCCCCCCCCCACACACACACACATACATACATATCCATTCACACACACATACATACCCACCCCCACACACACACTCACCCACAAACACACACACACACATACCCACCCACACACACACACACTAACCCCCCCCCCACACACACACCCACACACACACACATACACCTACATACCCATCCACACACACACCCACAAACACACACACATACACACCCACCAGCACATACACACACATACATACCCACCCATACACACACACACACACAAACCCACACATACACACATACATACCCCCCCCCCCCACACACACACACACAAACCCACACATACACACATACATACCCCCCCCACCCCACACACACACACACACATACCCACACACAAACCCACACCTACCCCCACCCCCACCCTCACAGACACACACACCCACACACACAAAACTACACCTACCCCCACAAACACATACTCGCACCCCCACCCACCCAACACCACCACGACAATCACCGACCTACCATCACCACCACCACCACTAACCCGTCACTAGCACCACCACCACCGCTGCTGCCACCATCAGCACCACTGACACAATTGCCGCCGCCACCACCATCGCCTGTCATCACCACCACCACTGCCGACCCGCTACCGTCACCGCCCCCGCCCACTCCCTACCACCGCTACCGTTTTTTAAAAATGAAAACCGATAGAAAAATACACGTCTAAACACGTTTTCTAATTTTCTAAAACTGAAAATGAAAAATGAATAAGTTTAACTAAACGTGTTTTATAAAATTTTCAATGAAAAATGAAACCGGAAAATGAAAATCGAAAAAGGAAAACAAAAAACGGAAAATGAAAATTGTTTTTCCGTAACTAAACGCAACCTAAGCTTTTCAAGTTTTTTTTTGTTTTTGTCATTTTAACATGCAACATATTTTCATTTTACCATGAAATATTATTTATCAAATAAACTCTTAATCTTATAAATATCTTGCAAAAAAAAACATTAAGTTTATAAATATTTTACGTTTTTATCTTATGTATGTTTTTCTTTTTCATATGATACGAATTAAAGGGTATTTTTTAAAGAGCTGAATGCATTCACAAAATCATATTCTAACAAGGATCTAGAGCAAAAACGAACCAAATACATCAAGTTTAAAAAAGAATTTTGAAGTCAATCGTTTCATTTAAATTGGAACTAATCCTTCTTATGAACTACCCAACTAAAAGACACATCTATTTCTAAAATACCAAACATCTATGTCATCAAACATTCTATCCTTTCTAAAAAACACTTTCATCATAATTCTATCGTTTCTCGATTTATTTGTATCAAATATGGGTGTCCAAAAATTAACGAATCCAACTGGAACCGACCGATCCAATTACGAACCGACCAAATGAATTGGATATCCAATTACAATTGGATTGGATCGGATGCCAAATTTCAAATTCCAATTAGATTGGATCGGTTATTGGATCATCCTGAAAAATACAATAGATAATCAAACCGATTCAATCGAATTGGATATTCAATTTAATCCAATAAATGTATAATATTATTATCTAAATTCAATTACTATTATTACACTTTCAATAAAAAATTAAGTTGATAACTTAAATTTAATGTTACTTTGTTGGTCTTATTTAGCGTAATTATGCGCGATTTTATTTTTAGTTATCATAATTATATTTGGTTATTCAATAAAAAAAATGATTAAAATTGGTTGGATAATGGATAACCAATGGATTAAACCACTAAAAAAATATTCAGTGGATAAAACCGATATAATCCAACATCCAATTGGATTAGTTTGGTTTAGTTTTTCTTTTACATAAATTGGATTGGATCGGTTGACAAAATCCAAAATCCAATGGATGATTGGATTGGATCGGTTTCATTGAAATTTATTAGATTTGAACTGATGAACACCCCTAGTATCAAAGACACGTCTAATTCAAAAATTCCAAACTGACCACCACGTAGTGACCAAAACTACTTTACAAACCATAGGCATATGCAACAAATCCAAAAAACTAAGTAAATCATGGATAAGAATAAGATTATATAAGTCTATATCACACTAACAACTTATCTTGAGAAGAATTTGGGACGCCGCTTTACATTCGATCAGAGCATGTCAGATATCTTTTGTAGAGTTGTTACAAATTGGGCATAAGTAACTGGAGAATTGAGAACTAGAGAATTTGGGATGCAACTTCACACTAAATGAGAACATGTCAGATATAGACTTATATAATATTATTCTTATATGTGATTTACCTACTTTTTTTGGATTCGTTGCATATGTTTGTGGTTCATAAAGCAATTTCCGTCACTACATGATGGTAAGTTTGGAATTTTAGAGATAGATGTGTATTTGATACAAATAAACCAAAAAATGATAGAATGTTTGATGAAATAGTGTTTTTTTAGAAATGATAGAATGTTTGATGACATAGATGTTTGGAAATTTAGAAATAGATGTTTCTTTTAGTTGGGTAGTTCATAGGAAGCATAAGTTCCAAGTTAAATGGAACAATGGCTTCAAAATCCTCTTTTAAAATTGATGTATGTGGTTTTTTTTTTTTTTTTGCTTTAGCTCCTTGTTAGAGTGTGGTTTTTTAATGCATTTGGCATTTCAAAAAAAAAAAAAACATACTTAAGGTAAAACCTAAAATATTTGTAACTTAAGGGTTTTTTTTTGCAAAATATTTGTAAATTTAAAGGCTTTTTGCAATTATTTTATGGTAACTTGGAAGTCTGCTATTAAAAATGGCAAAATGAAAAAACTTAAAAAACTGAAGGACAGGAACAAAGAAAAAATCATCATAGGAACAAAACCAACAAAACTTGAAAAACTTAAGGACTTTTATGTCAATAACCCTTATTTTATATTTCATAAAGTTTTATCGATTTTTTTTCTACAATGCATTTAGCTCTATAAAGTTTAATAGAATATATATAATTAATCATTTACGAATTAAAAATTTTCTTTTTTTTCCTTTTTACTATTCAAAAGGTCATTGAACTCCAAATTCATTAAATCTCAAGGTGACATCTCACCACTACTAGAAAAAAGGCTTTTTACGACGCTCATTGCGCGTCGTAAAACGCTCAGACGACGCGCAAATGCGTGTCAAGGAAGGCCCTGTCATAAAGAGAGATGATGCGCTTTTGCGCGTCGTCTATAGACGACGCGCATTTACGACGCGCATTTACGACGCGCGGTTATGACACGCAATGCGTATCAAGGAAGGCCCTGTCATAAAGGAAGACGGCACGCATTTGCATGTCGTAACCTTACGACGCGCGTGTTTATGACACGCAATGCGTATCAAGGAAGCCCCTGTCAAGAAAGGCCATGTCATAAATAAAGATGACACACATTTTTGCGTATCATAATTTTAAATGTTTAAAAAAAATATTATTTATAGATTTACTAATTTTTCATATTAAATAATACATTAGAAATCTCATAATAATAAATAAAATACCATAAATAACAAAGATAATTCATTTCACTAATATGTCAAATACAAATAATTATTCCAATAGTGAGTAAATGTTATAAAAAAATGAACTCATTTATATACAATTGCATTATCTAGCTTACTATGTGCCAACAACTTCTATCTTTTTCCTTCTCTGCATAAACTTCATTAGCAGCATCCTAAAGAACTTCTATCTTTTTCATCAGCAACATCCTCAAAAACTTCTATCTTTTTCCTTCTCTGCATAAACTTCTATCTCACACTCAATGTAGTTTTAAACATCAGGTTTAAAAAATCAACTTTAAGGTTGCCTTGTTAAAGAGAATGACTAGAATAGATTTCCCTTTTTCACAAGGCATGTGCTTGCTTGCACATATATATGGAATCATTCTAACAAAAAAAAAACTGTTCATGTCAACTACTCCAAGGACTATTACGTAATTTAACATGAAGAATTTTGTCCAATGAAAGGATTGACTTTAAACTTTATAAAAATCATTTAACAAACTTACCTGACCATGAAGCGTGTTGATCCAGGATCTCCTTGCCTTCCTGCTCTGCCACGAAGCTTTGTAAAGCAAGAAATAAATTAAAAAAGTGAGTCTGAAAGTATATGCTAAATTTATGTAAAACCTTAAAACACAATATTGATGCAAAGTTACCTGATTATCAATTCTTCGGGACTCATGCAAAGATGTCCCAATGACATGGAGACCACCAAGTCGTTTGACTTCCAATCCTTCATGAAAGCAATGAATCTCACAGTCCTTTAGAACCGATAAATAGGCAATTGCAATGCAAGGACCAAGAGGGTACATCTCTGCCTGTTCTTCCACAAGCCTTTGCAGTTCATCTAAACCCATTGACTGGCTCATTTCAATTGACTCTGAAATTATAGATTTTGCCTTCTCATATGTCCAACTCTTGTTCTCACTTTTGCCCACGTATTTAGTTGCGTTATTTACCCAAAACCATATACCATTCACATTAACGTTAGGGCCAAATGAAAGAATAGCTACCTATTTCTAATTACCAGCATCCTACTCTAAGTACAACATCCTAAAAAGAAAAAAAAAATGAAAGTATACAGCTATAACCATAAGTGGTATAGTTTTCAAAGTACAGTGCCTTATGAAAGATATCTTTTTTAAAGAGTATGCTAGTATGGTAGAAAGCAATGAAAGTAGGATGCTATAACACACAAATAGATGAAAACAAGTAGTTATTGTTGCTTGTTATATTTTTAGCCCATATAGAAAGTGAATACTTACTTCAGTTTTTGCAGTTCCTGTCATCCCTGAAAGCTTTGGATAAAGCTTAAACATTGATTGGTATGTGATTTGTGCCACTACAACTGAATCAGCCTGCAAAGCCCAAGAGGAATACAAGGTAATACCTCTGACCATCGTCTTTTTTTTCCACTCTCCCCGTCAACTTCAAATGAACATTAATTTACAGCAATATAACTAGGTTTTTCTCCTAAAATAAAAATACGATGTTTGTAATACCTCGTTTATTATAAGAGCTTTCCCATTTTTAACAATGTACTGGACATCTTGGCGATAGAACTCCCATTTTTAACAATCTGCAGCTCCTCCAGCCATTATGCCCAACATATACAGGTTAATTTCAATGATTTTTTTTCACAGATTAAGATGCTGCAAAAAAAAAAAAAAAAAAAAAAAATTAAACGGGTGTTTTTGAAGACTATTTAATGCTTTCAAATCATGTTGCTTTCGATTCATAATTAATTATTAATCAAGTAAAGATATATTATAATTTAGAAGGAGAAATGCATACATATATAGCCTCCCATGCTAGCTCGGGAATCTGCAGCAACCATCACACCTTCCTTAAAAATAAAAGCCAAAGTTGTTCCTTTTGCTGGTTTTACCATTTGGATAGAATTCTTTTGAAATCCATCAAACTGAAGCAAAGGATTTGATGTAGTGTTTTAGCAATATATACATTCACTTAATATCTAGCAGAAAGGAAAAGAGAAAAAGGCAAGAATTGTAAAGAAACTCACATCTGATGTAACTGGTAGGTCAAATGAAGGGGCATCAGAAAGCAGGTCGTCACTTCCTCCATAGAGTGGTGCACTTGTGCAGTTTAATCAGATGCAAAATAAATCGCATACGATAATAATTACCTTTGATGAGCTGCAATACATCTTATACTCCAAACCATTCACCACATGTACGCCTTCCATGACAGCTGATATAGCAGAAGATTCATCAATACCTGAGAATTGGCATTTATTTCTGCATGTAATTAGGAAACAAATTAAATATGAACATAAATAGATACTTATTTACTCAATGTCATAAGAAGTATTAATATTTATTAGTTATTACCTCTGCAACATAATACCAGAATCCTTTTTTCCAGGCACAACAGAAAGAAAACCATTGTGAAGATAAGTTGAAAAATTATGATCCACAGAAACCGCAACCACATCAGTCTTTGCATTCCCAACATCCATCAGTTGAATGGTTAAACAACATGGGCCAGATGACTGCAAAAAAATAAGGAAAAATAAATAAATAAACCAGAGTTCTTACAGGATACAGAGACTGCTACATATTCCTGTTATTATTTATGTTTATTGTTATTGCTATTGTTACTCTACCTTCACTGTTTTTGTTTTTGTTAATGTTATTATTCCTGTTACCTAAGTGTTAATGTTATTGTTTGACTGCTTTCTGCAACCATAGTTATCAGATTTGTGAGCAAAAATAAAGATAAATAAGCTTACCTACCATTAAGCCAGGATAAGAGTTTAGGGCATCAATGGAAGATGTCTCCTGGATTTTATTATCGTGTCTTTGATCCATGTTAAATATCGTGTCTCCAGGGGGGAGATGATTTAACATCCCTAAATAATTAATTTTGCCTGCAACATGATCAAAAAAATAAATTATGAGTTGTAATTCATTGATTTAAATAAAGAAGATTCGAGAATGAATTTGTCTTATGCATAAGAACATGCGAGCCATTCTTGAAGACCTTAAAGATCGCTTGATTTAATCTCTTAACAGATTGTTCATCGATCCATCCTTTGAAAACCGACCCAGATCCACCTTCTCCAAGAACATTATCGAGTCGGAAATTTCTTGTAGCCAATTTAAGTACATTGAAGCTAAAAGGCTTTAAATTTCCCAATTGTAAGATTTCTGTTTGACTTCTAGGAGTCCAAGAGCTTGGAGGTACTGATGTAGATGTAACTTTACATGTTGAAGTTTAAACACATCAAAAAGATCATAACACCCTTTTTTTAATCAAAAAGACCATATTACTCTCTATATTGCTTAATTTTATGCAGCTGGATACATCACAAAAATATAAAAATGTGAAGAAATTCAACTTTATTATGTTCTATTTTTATATTTACACAATGCATCCACAGATTATCGATAAGAAAATGAAATGAGAAGTATAAGTTCTTCTAGACAAACATATAAAAATTCATCACAAAAATATAAAAGTTATAACAATGTGAACTTTCAATTTTCAATCTAACACTGAAACAAAAACCCATCTTGATCCAGATATTGATCTTCTTCTTTCTTCTCAATTCAAAACACTGAATTGAGTCTCCCCTTCTTTTTCTTCTGAGAGAGAGAGAGAGAGAGAGAGAGGGAGAGAGAAGCAATAATAAAAGTGATAGAAAATAAAAACTCACTGGGACATTAAATCAAACAGTTGGAGGGTGTGAACGGGAAGATGTGTTGAAATACATATAAAAATACGAATGTGAGTGTGTGTTGAATAGTTGAAGTGTGTACATGTGAGCCCCTGGTTTCACGAGGAGAAAAGGCAAAGACAAAAGGCATCAAACATGTTTGTATCTTTTCTTGAAAGCATCAAACATTTTCATTTTTCAAGTGCATTTTCATTTTATAAAATATATTTTTTTAACAGCACTTGATTAAAAAAAAACAGAGCCAAAATGGGATTTGCGAGCAAACAGGAGAACATGATGATTTCCTGCATGCAACCGTTATATCAAGTGTTTGAAGCTTCCCGTAGTCCTAATTACTATACCATCGGTTCATTTTAGGAATAGGAAAAAGGGAAAATTGCATCAATGTTATAGTTAAATAAAATATTACTGTGAGCATCTTGGCTGGATCAAAACTTTGCATAGGTGGACAAGAACCAAAGATCTTGTGAGTGAGCTCAAGAGCAAGCTGTACAACAGGTAGTTTGCTGTCAATTTCTTGTATCAAATCAGCTGAAAAAAAAAATATTACAGAGTATAAGAGTTCCAATTTTTGAATTAAAAAAATGAAACCATCTATCCATTCAAATCCTTGGTTTAAAATAAGAAAAGTAAATTAGCTGCAAGATTTTATAGAATATACAAAAGATGTATAAACTTCAAGCTATCCATGAACAGAGAGAGTCGATATGGGATTTTATACTCAAACAACCTTTATACTCTCAGAGTTGTACTCCATCTCTAACATCATAATCTCATTATTGCCCTAATTAGAACAAGAGAAGGGGCAAAATTATCCCATGGAGAATCAGAGCAAACCATAGGAGTATTGCCACCATAACAAGGAGAAGGTAATCGTACATCAGATGAAGCACAAAGTAACATTGGTGATGGTGAAGGAATGGAAATAAAACAGAAAAAAAAAAAACAGAAACCCTAACCAACCTTGGTCGTTGAGATGATGGTGGAGCTTTTCCCTTGACGCAAAACCCTCCATGGTATCAAGCTCAATCTCTGTAGCCCTACGATCTGCCATGTGCAAATCTCTCTCGTCCTCCAGAGAATCGTCCAACCCAACCGACCTTCATAGCCATTTCTATTGCTTTCCAACTCGATATCATAAATTATGTTTCAACATGAGAGTGTGGGGAGGTTTCAAGAAGAACAGAGCAGAAGCAACAACGCAAAAGATAACATTAGGTATCGAGGGCTAATCGAGTTTGATTAAAAAGGTTATAAAACTCGTAATAAAGGAAGACAAACCTCTGGAACAAATAAAGAAGTAGAATGTTGATGGTGATTGACCATGGAGTTTCGATACCTTGACTTTAATGGAGCTACTGTTCTACTTGATATGGAAATCACTCTAAATTTGTAGTTGTGATACAACTCTTCTATTGATTGAGAGGCTGAGAAAGTACTTGAGGAACTAAAGATCGAGGGAAGTAGATGAAGGGTTTTTGAACTGAAACCTTAGTTCCAAAAATAGTCATGGTTCCAAAAACTGTACCCCTTTGATCAATTTCATGGCCTAGTGACCAAAAAACCTTCGATTTCACTAAGAACCGGAACCCTAGTTCCAACAATAGTCGATTTTTGGTATTTGATTGAGAGGATAGAGAGAGAGAGAGAGAGAGAGAAGAACGATTGAAAGAAGGTAGAGGAGAGCATGGCGGGGTTTTTAATTTTTTCAGAATTTCATTTCCCCCTTTCCCCCACTATTAAAGGATGGAACGTGCGTTCCATGAAAAAATATAAAGCGACATCCTTAGACGACGCGCATTTTATTATAGGTGCCCTCCGTGTTTTTTTAGACACTAATTTAAGGGCGCGCAATAATGCGTGTCTTCTATCCTTAAATTTTTTGAAGAGATGACATTTTTCTAATGTCACTCTCCGTTGCGTAACATAGATCAATGAGCGTCGTATTTTGCGCGTCGTAAAAGGCCTTTTTTCTAGTAGTGCACAATGCTAGAGTTTCATCCATTGAACAACAATTAGTTTTGCCATCTCATTCAACTCTTTCATTGAACTCTCCGTTGTGAGTTCTATTAGGCTTATTCTATATTTACCCCATAATTGTTTAGTGTATGCCTTGTGTGAGTGGGTGAAGCATATGTGTAAACAACTTTTTATGTGAGTGAGGGATATATATAATAACACCCATGCATTTAGTGTCTTTTCGGCCAAAATAAATTAATCTATTATAATTTGATTTTCATTAAAATCATAAACATAGCTTATTGTAGTTTATAAAGTAGCCTATAAACTAGTTTATTGATAAGATAACTTTATAAAGTTTATTGATAAGCTAGCTTATAAGCTTTACATAATTTGTTGATAAACTAGTTTGACAAATAGAACCTTGTTCATATAAGTTTTTTAGACACATATGATCATGAAACTTTTTCTTTATATACATATAACCCACAAATTGATTTTTTTTATTTCATTAATATTATTATGATTGATTGTATGATAATTTTAAGATTCATAGAATTCTCAGTTGCATTTTACCAGTGATCGTCATAGTAATGCTCATCTAAAAGGTAACTATTTACATATATGTTCATAATGGTTGTTATGGATGGAAGCCATCATAGCCTATAATGTGAGCATAATATAAAGCGTCAAATCTTGGTCATGGTTCTTAATAAGACATAATGAATGTATTAACAGAGTTAGGAAAGTTGTCTTCAAAATAAACATGTCCGATTAAATTGATACCCCCCTTTGCCATTCTTTCTAGATTCCTATTGTGGGTATTGTTATCAAAATTTGTGTATGGAATTTATATCTAGAATTAAAAAGCTCAAGCCGTCGAAGATTTCTTCAGGTAGACAAGCAAATCTTAAAGCATGTCAGATTTTAAAGAATATTTTGTTAAGCTACAACAAATAATTAGGAGATAACATAGTTAGTTAGATAATATTGGTTATACAAAATAGTAAGAGCTTATTTTCCTAAAATGTGTTTCAATACAATAACTGAGAAATTCTTAATGTTGTGTTCATGTTATCGTGGATGAAGAGAATGTACTGATAACGACGCTCATTGAGGTAATCAGTGGGACCATTATTCAACACAGTAACTGAGGAGGTACACACAAACACACACACACACATACACACACACACACACACATATATATATATATATATATATATGTATAGTAAGGTCAAACCTTATAATCTAATGAGTCAAATATATATTATGCTGACTACATCATCGGTGACATCAGGCCTTAATCAAGCTTAAAGACAGTGTGATATGTTTCTTAGTGCTTAAGATTTATGATATGTTGTTATAGTGATATGGTATGTTTTGTATTATCTATACCTTTTATTTAAGGTAGTTATCATAGATATTCAAATTCTTTATATGTAGGGATTTGAATCTATAATAGCCTTTTACCTAGTATATAAGTTACACTAGATATCAATGTAATAAACACTTGGTTAATTATCTCTGTCTGAAAGATTTCTTTAATCAAAATGGTTTTTGATTAACTTTGTTCTTTTTTCTTTACATTGTTTGATATCAAATGTTCTATCTCGATCCTTCAGTTGGTATCGGAGCATGTACGTATATATGTAATGCCCAGTTGCCACTTGGAGAAGGAAGGAAAGGCTTGAGAGGTTCAAGAAGAAGGCAGTAGATCCAGATTCTTGGTTGCATTTCCAGCTTGTTTGAGGTAAAAATCTTCAACCTTGACTTCACATTTGTTAGATCTTCTTTAAGGCTTAAATCTTATCATTTTTGGGGCATTTCTAAGTCACCTTCAGGTTTAGAGTGTAATGTAGAGTGTTGACTTCAGATCTTCAACCTTGAAGGGTTCTCATGGCTAAAAGTGCCAACTTTATGGTCATGGGAGCCGCATGCACCTTGTAGACTTCAGTATTGGGTCTTTTGAGCTTGAAGACCCGTGCATGGATGTAAAGTTCATGACTTTACATGTTATATCGACCCCAGGAAGTCAAATCTACCCTTTGGATGCATTGAGCTCAACAGAAATCGAGTGTTTGGACATGAAATTTAGGGGACTTGCCGAGTTGTTCATAGGACTTAGTGAGTCAGGTATTGGTTCCCCAACCTTTTCTGTTTTTGAGGAATCTGGTTGAGCCTAGAAGGGGACCCAACAATATGAACGTGATTATGGACTTGAAGATCAAAGTACTCGACGAGTTCAAGGATGAACTAGTAGAGTTCAAGGCAATGTCCCAATCGATATGAAGATGAACTTGACGAGTCAAGGAAGATCTCGACGAGTTCAAATGGAAAGTCCCGATTCTGCCATAAGGAGAAACTCGACGAGTTAGAGGGCAACTCGATGAGTGATATGTGCATAATTAGTTAATTATTTAACATATATTCTTAGTTATTTTTGGTTATTTATGAAAATAATGTGGACAAAAGGTACTTAAAATGCTTTTAATTGTGTTTTCAGTCCAAAAGATATGCTTGGAGGCAAAGAGGAGAAAAGGAAAAGCAAGTGAAGATTAAAGAGTGAAAAGAACGACCTACTCGGCGAGTAGATCGACCCTACTCGGCGAGTACACGATGATATGCCAGAAGATAAATACGACTGCTAATCTAAAGACGGATAAGTATTGACCTACTCGGCGAGTTGATTCTGCTACTCGCCGAGTACCCTCTGTTTTGGGATATCTTTAAAAGACGAATCCTTATCTCATGGGACATAACTCCTGGCGAATTTTGAAGGATTAGCTGCGACTAAAAGGTTCAGAAGGCGCTGAGGAACCCTAAGCTTCAAGAGTTGGAAGAATTCAAGCAATTAGGTTAATTCTACCACTTAGACTTAGGAATTAAACATGTTTGCTTTCATAAACTTTGTTTTTATGCTTGTTTCTACTGCAACTATGAGCTAAACTCGTTTTTGTTTCTGTTAAGGAATACCAAAGAACTCCTATGGTTTAATTATTGAATTTTGTTTAATTGTCTATTGGTGATTTATTAAATTAAGTTTGTTAAAGAACCTTATGTATTAATCACTACTATTTTCTGTTAATTGGAAGGCAATTAGGTTGCATGAACATCACTTAATTGTTAACCTCATATGTCTATGTGAATGCTAAAACATATGCTTGGAAGTAATGAGTATGAAACTAAGATTAATAAGAAAATAGGAAGATTAATGTGTGAGCTTGTTTGAGAAACCATCAACAAGAGGTTAATTGAATTAATAACTTAATTGACCATTACAAATCTTATTTAATCCAAATAATTAATCTGGGGAATTAATTAGTTTAAACACTTGATCAACGCTTAAATTAGTTAATTGTTAAGGGTTAGGAGTAATGAACATGAACCTAACTACTATCATTGGTAACCAATAGCAATTAATCTACCTTAACTTAAATAACCATAGGAGTGAATTGGTTGAACCTAAATAGAAACATCTTTATCAAATTTGGTGAATAGTTGTTGCTTTAGTTAATTAGTTAATTTAGTTTGTTTAAGTTTCTAGTCTTGCAAAACTAGAGAAAAACCCTTTACTTCTATTATTTGTTTTAGTTAAAATTAGCTATTAGTTTAATTGCCCGTTCCCTGAGTTCGATACCTTACTTATCAATCTATACCACTTAAAGACAGGTTCACTGCCTTTGTGTGCTTAAATTATTAATAAAAAGTAGGGATAAAACTAGTTGAATTTACACACATCAAGTTTTTGGCGCCGTTGTCGGGGAACGGTTCTAAATAGTTAATTTTATTTGCTAATTGTTATCATTTTTTTATTTTATTTGTTGATTAATTTTTTTTATTTAGTTTAATTTTTTATTTTTATTTTTATTTATTATGTATTTTCCAAATCTCGATGCTTTTGATGCTTTTCTTGAGGAAGTAGTACAGGAAATTGAGCAAGGAGATGAGGAGTATGACTCAGATGAAGATTTGCAGAAATTTGGAAGATGGTTAGATAACATATTGCCCAACACAGAAGGGACATCTGAGTTACAAGATGAAGAATTTAATCCAGAAAGAGACTTGGAGGAGCTGGAAAGATTGCTAGCAGGA